TAGAAAATCAAGAACCAATTTTAGCTCCTCAAGAAGCTATAACATATAAAGACTTACATGGAAGAACTAGTTTAAGGTTTGGTAATTATAGTCATATAAATAGAAATAATGATTCTGAAACAGAATATAATAATAATGAAGAAGAACAAAAACCAGAAGAATTTCTTAATGCAGTAGAAATAGAAACTGAAGATAGAATTTTATATCCTAAAGAATTAGAAATGAATTTATCTCCTACAGAACTTTTAAATAAACAAATAGGAGAAATAGAATATTTATATTATGATAATTTTAAAAATATTAGAGTAGGAGTTAATACAGAAGAAATTGATAATATGACAGAAATTTCAGAAAGTAGTAATCATAAAGAATTAGTAGATGAAAATATGGGAATTAAAACAGAACCAGAACAATTTTAATACTTAGCTGGTCATCCTCCTAGAACACCTTATACAAGTTATAATGATAAAGAAAGAAATTATATAGTTAGAGGAAAAATTAGACCTTTAGAACCTAATATATATATATATATATATATTATGAGGCCCCCTTCTTAATTGGACCTGAGGCAGAGGCAAATGGGGCCAGCCATGCATGAGCAGGATCCATGTTTAATCGTGAGGCCCCCCTCATATGAGGAATTGCCATACTTGGTGTACAAAGTGATGTACACCAAGCATCCTCCCACCGACATAGTTTGTAAAACAAATTATTTGTACATTCTTAAAAGCAATAAAAGAACAAACACGAACATGACACAATATCATGTTAAGGTCAATACTATGTTTTCAAAGCTGTATTTATAACGAGTTCACCACTCTTTTTGTGTCCACTACTACTCAAAATTATGTGTAATAAATTGAAAAAGTATTGATACTTCAAAGAAAATCGAAACAAAGTATATTGACTCGATACTGGTAATGATATCGAAACAAAAAAATAATTCGTAGATTAAGGTCTTATTTGCTTAGATTATTCAAGCTAAGTTTAATTATTTTATTAACTAATTTTAAAAGCCACTATTTCCATGTGCAGAACCTTCATGTCCACCATCACCACCCTGCATTAGCATGTCCACAAACCTGCCTCGACTGCTTGTCTTCAACTCGGCCATCAAATCTCACAGTCGACCGCTCTTTCCATGCAGGCACCATCACCGCCAACTCCCTTCATTAACAAATAAGCCAAGGCCGCCATCAGTAATCTTTCTTCAACTCCGCCATCAAACTCGGGTGGAGGGAGGGGAGAGGAGCAGCCCTTTTTTCCCCACGTATCAGCCTAGTACAAAACTATTTTATTGTCCCTCCCCCCCCGGCTCTTCCATGTGTAGTACATTCTCCACCACCGTCTCCTCCATCTGCCGCCACCACCAATTTGATAATTGCATCCGTCCACGGTCTGCATGACGACAAGTCTTAAGATCTTTACTGCACATCAAACAAAAAGTCAGAAAATTGTAACTTCTGATCTGATCCCAGATGATATTCAAGGACTAAGCACATATTCGGTACAAAAATAACAGAAAATCTAGGAGCTCATGCGAAAGCACAGAAGAAAATCCATGATATCGTTTGACATTCATGCAACAACTACAAGCAGTCAACTGAACTAATTTGAAGATCCAAGAGTAGGCATAGAAAGCATCAACAAAGTGCCATAACAGTTCAATAAACATTTGAATGCATCAATATAAATTACACTAACCAAAACAGCATGTAAAAAGCTACAAATAAAAGCATACAATCCGTCAGAAAAAATATGTTCACATAATGCACTACTTATTTGTTTAGATACAAATTAATTATCTCAATGTTCGGAAGAGAACAATGATTGTGCTAGAATTTGGTGAAACTATTAACAGATGCACAGAATACAAACAAAAGTTCCTTCTTCAGGAAACCTGGAGTTTACTGAAACCAGAAGAGAAGCAGACCGAGAAATTTAAAGGCAACGATGTATATAGCGCTTAGCAATATTTTCCGTGCAATATCTCTTGATATTACGTTTCACATTATGGATTTTATCAAGTGGTAACACCAAGCACGCTCATACTTCTTTGATGTAGTAATTTTGGTGTTGCACAATGAAATGAGTCTATTTGGTTTATATCGTGGCCATTTCAATCATATAGCATTAATGGAAATTTCCCCATTCGTTCGTGTTTCAAAATTTTCAACTTTCTACAATGAAGACTTAAACACAGGATTTGCAGGTGCGAGTAATTACTGCACATTAAACTACAGAATGCAATAGCACCTGACTTCTTATAGAGCCCTATATCTCCATAAAAAATAAATCTAGAAAGTTTCAATCATATACAAAACTTCTAACGGAACATTTTTGGTTGGGAGGAATATTGAGAGAAGATAACCTCACAAGTTCTTCCCGGAAGTACATTGACTAACACAAATTTCTTAACAAACTGATGTCTGGCAATATCATCTAAGATAGTCCTCAACTCCCATCCACATTTATCATCTACAAAATTCAGTCATAATTTTCATGTATATTAAGTTAAAGAAATGAATTATACAGTTATAGGATTATGTTCGTGACAGAACTGAGGAAATTTTTAGGAAGATACACTCTAATGGGGCATAGTGTGGCTAAGATTGATACTGGTTTTACAGGTAAAGGAACATTCAGGGAAATAGGCTCTTCTAAACTAGGATAAATTACCCATGAAAAAGTTTGCACACAAGTTTGCCAATCGTAGAAGCATCAATACAGGCAAGAACATTACTTGCAAAAATAACAACTGGAAGCATCTGCTAGTGGGGTAAATGAAAACATACCTCTACTTTGAAGAACTCAAGATTCACAAAACAGCCTGAAATCTGACCAATTTCTGAAATCTAGAGAGTAAATACGAGAAGAATGTGCCATTGGTATCCAAACTATTACCCAGTAGCAAGTTGGTCCCTGATCCAAGTCCAACAAACAAGTTGGTCCTTAACTTTCAACTATAGTTGCAAAATCAGTCCTCAAAAATCAAAACCGTTCAAATCCATTAAATCATTGCATGGCCCTCGTGGGGTCTGATTGTGAAACAATAATGATAGGTTGAGGACCAACATGCTCCTTTTTAAAGGTTGCGGACCATATTCTATCTGACTATAGGTTGGGGACCTATGATGCCATTTTCCATAAAATATTCTGCTTCAACATGGATGTTTTCAGGGATCCTCATGATACAAGTTCAGACAGAAAGCGCAGATTAATGAAGCCGTGGAAAAGGGTGGAGATTATCTGGCATTTGGAAGTTTGTATCAGAAGGTAGTGGCTGCAATAATCCGCTACTTGACAATTCCTCCAAGCTGTTGATGTCCTGTTGCAACCGCGTCACATGCGATACGGCATGTTCAAGAACCAGAGGATCATCCGGCATATTTTCTAGGAGGCTAAGCAACACCTGCCTATAAACTTGAGCAGCCAATAATGGCCTTGCTACCTGTCGACTTCTACAGAAGATTGCAACCTTAATCACGTGCTTACAAATATTACCCACCATTGACCACGAGCAATCACAGAGTGCGAACTCCGAACCTGGGTTCCAAATTGTATATGCCACAGTACTGTCTGCCTGAGAAACGACCTTTGCAAACTCGAGATTTTCCTCGTCTAGTAGCACATCCACGTCAGGGATGTGCATAGCCTGATACCAAGAGTTGGTCGAGACATACCTATCCCTCAGATTTTCAAAATGTCCAGTCTCTGCAATATATTGGTCAAACCAATACAAGGAGTGAAATTGAGTTGTTAATGTGTGGATCAAGAAGTCAAGTCTGCGATGAGAATTTGCACATAGCAAATTTAGAACTTTGGATTTCAATCTTAAGTGATATACTTCTATTGAAGCATATGGCTCTTGATTTGCTACCGGGAGAGTTCTGACACAATTGACCCACAATTCTGCAATATAAGATACCATATTAAAGTTATTTTTTCTACATATGCATGCAAAAAGGTGCTTAAAGTAACACTTAAACTGGAGATGAAAATATTAAATATTGAAGAGGTTCCTGGAACAAGCAAAAGCACATAAACCCTGCCAGAAATAAGAAAAATTAAAAGACCATGCCTATCTTTGGCAACCATTTGCTTCTAAAGTGTTCTATAAATGCATGCTGATCGACATATATTTGCATGAACTCTTCAACAGCATCAACCACATTTCGCCCACTTTTTGAGCAGTACAAAATCCTGCCTACATGCTTAAACATCTCCCTCTGCACATCAAAATTGCTGCAATTCTTCAAAAGGCTTTTCAACCAACCACGACGCACATGCCAAAGGGATAATAAAACGCGGCATTGGAAGGCCTCTCTACAAGTCACAAGCATCATATTAGCAATTTTCCAGTTTCCAATCCATAACTCGGAATACAACATCTGAGAATCAGACCGCAAAACTTACCTTATAACTGAAGCCTCAACAGAAGGATCATCCACTAGAATTGCACAAGGTCTCCACCTTGGGTCCTTCTGATGAATTCTTTCAACAAGAGTCGACATCCATTTGTGAATACTTTGACCAGGCAAACTAGAGGTAATGACCCAGGCAATTGGAATCGGATTCTGGGAAGAGTCAAATACAAGCAGAGAGCACAAAGCATACTGCAGAAGTCAAAATAAGAAATCAAAATAGTGAAGATTCCAAATCATCAAGCTAAAGTGCAAGGTGTATTAATCTATACTTTTTACGTTAAAGGCTTTCTTATTTAGCCCTCGTTTGGTTCTGATTTTTCACCCCAAAAAATCAACTTTTTGACCGTTACTTCCAATAGTCAGCCGTAATTTTTCACTTCTTCACAAACAGATGAGACTCCACTTTTCTCTCTAATAATAAAAAAATTGATTCTCATAATCACTA